GAGACTTCACCAATGGATTATGATTTGTCTAACCTGATCTAGCAGAGAGCCAAGCCAAAACGAGTCATCAAGAGCGGAGACCAAGTTAAGACTGGATTACCAGCAGGAGGGGGCGTGACAAGTTTTGGATACTTGGTCTCAAGAGCAGGCAGACAAAGAAAACCCATTGGTGGAGTCTCCGTCTCCTGTACTGGAGAAATTTCCTGACAGTGAAACAATTAATCAGTGGAAAACTTGCCTCCAGAAATTGTACATGCTCCATCACTGGAGTTTTTAAAAAAAGATTGGACACCCATTTGTCCGGAATGTTATAGGGCAGTGGGGCCGAACCCATGGCACGGGTGCCAGAGGCGGTACTCAGAGCCCTCTCTGTGGGCACGCATGCCGTCACCCCAGTCCTAGGGCTTCAGCTGGGTTTTATAAAACCTTGTTGCTTTAGGCCTCCGCCACCGTGTGCAAAAAAAAAAGGTTCAATCAATCAGTCAATTTCAACTTCTTGCGAGGAAAAAAAAGATCTTGCAAAGTTGGAATCGATTGACTGAACTTTTTAGTCCCACCCAGTCTGCCGTTACCACCACAGCCATGCCCACCCAATGGGCCACACCCACCCAATGGGCCACACCCGGCACCCGACGATGCATAAGTGGGTTTTGGGTTGCAGTTTGGGCACTCGGTCTCTAAAAGGTTCGTCATCACTGTTATAGGGTCCCCTGCTTGAGCAGGGGGTTGGACTAGAAGACCTCCAATGTCCCTTCCAACTCTCTTATTCCCTTAATTCTGTAAAGTAATTCAAGTAAACTACATGTAATGAAGAGAAAAAAAACCCTAATAAAATCCAAAAGATTCCATATAATCTCTATTTTGTATCACAATATGGCATTTATGTAACTCAATCACTGACTTTAAATGATACAGAAGCTTATTGTTTCATCTTCTCATTTTTATCTCTTACCTCTGCATGCCCGCCAGGTGTCAAGGTCTTGTTGCAGCGCTCACATTTCAAACAAAATTTGTGCCAATCTTTTCCCAAGGAAGTTACTTTTTCAGCTGTACAAACAAACAAAAAATGGAGAGTCAGAATTCTACAGACTAGATTCTCAACTTTTATATCTTTTAAGACTCACTTCAAAGGACTGAAAATTATTGAGGACCACCTCTCACAAGTGGAGGCAGAATCACCTAGATCTATTGTAATCTGTGTTTTATGAACACTTTAGAGAGCCTCTCCCTCAGTAAACATATGCTAACAACTTAAATAATCAATACATTGCTTGCCTTTTCATGACCTCACTATTAGCTGCCTGAGGTAACTGTTTAATTCAGCCTCATTGTATTACCATCACTTCATTTATTATAAGATTTTCTTGAGATAGTTCTCAAGGTAAAAAGTTCAGATATTAACAACTTAGTCATGTATAGACTGAAGTTGTTTAAATAAAAATATTTCAGTTGTGATGCCACAAATGTGATGTCACAAATACCATTTTGTCTCTTAAGAGTATACAGGGTTTGTGTTTTTAGAAGAGGAGGAAGGAGGGGGAGCTGGGATGCCTTAGATCTCCAAGAGAGAAATGTCCATCAAGGCAGAAGAACTGATTCAATTAAGTTCTAAATGACACTAACTATAGAAGATGATCCATTTGAGTGAAAATACTGCATTTTATGAATGGCCAAAGCACTAGAAGAACTAAGAAAGGTGAATGGAAAGAAACAGGAGGAATGGGATGCTACAATCAAGAAAATTAATGTTTCTAGCTATATGTGACATCTTTCTCAATCATACAGATGAAAATGAAAGCGCAGATGAAATATGGCAAGGATTATAAGAGCTATTTCAGTAAAAACATGGCCTCACAGTTTCACTTGGGTAATATAATCTTTAAAATATACTATACAGTATATCTACCTAGCACGTATCAGCTTCTACTTAGGAATGGTGTAAGAACTGGAACTACAAGATGCAAAACTGCCTAGGGAGCTAAATTGATATTCTACTCCATAGTATGCCTGTGGAATATAGGGGGACTATTAATTTTGTTCACGCAAAAGAAAATCCATGATTTTTCCTAGAACAAGTACAGGAGTTTAATCTCCAAAAGCAAACTCAAAAAAGAATGAATGTCCAAATCAGCACTATAGACCCACATATTTTTAAAAATCAAGCACCATTTCTCTTTTTGGAGCACTTTGCATTTAAAAATAAATTCCCACAAACAAAAATAAAGAACTCTCAGCAGAGAAATTCCATTGAAGGCAAATTCCACATAAATGAGTCACCAAGCAGGCATGCTGATACAAAAGAGAATCAAGCCAGGGTTTTATGAAAATGAACCCCATAAACTAAAATGTGTTGCTGGAGAAATTATTTTCAGAATCAGCTGAAAATGGACTCATAGTAAAACAGTTTGGATAGTGAGATTTTTTTCCTCATATTTCCTTAACAATGTACATTTTGGGGGCATAGATATGAATTGTGAACTCTAATTTACTTTGCCAACTCTGATAGCAAATATGCAGAGGGCAAAGGAACAGCATCTACTATAATATAACATCTATGGAACAAAATTTATGTTTGCATTCCAGAGGCTTACTATGTTTTCTTCTTAAAAATAATCTTATGAGTATATAAACAGTAACAAGGCAAAAGTGCAAGACTCTTTTTAAAAGAAAGTGTTGCTTTGCTTATGAAGTCAATGAATTATAATGAAGATAACTCTAAAAAGAAGATATGTATGAAATGGAATGTATGAAAGAACAAATACTGCAAAGAAATATTCTCAATATTGCAAAGAAATATTTTCATGATTATAGGGCTTAGCATCACAAACCTAGTCATAGAATATTTTGAAGCTGATGAGGTCTTCTAGTCCAACCTCCTATCCGAGGCAGGAGACCTTATAACACTCAGGAGAAACGGATGTCCACTCTTTTCTTGAAAACGTCCAACAATGGAATACCCACAACTCTGGGAGGCAAGTATTCCACTGATCAATTGTTCTCACTGTCATGGAAATTTCTCCTTAGTTCCATGTTGAATCTTTCTTTAATGAGTTTCCAGGGGAAATGAGTGTAAGGACCCACCTCAGCTAACCACCAAGAAAGTAGAACTCTTGAAACAGGCATTGTCTCAAAAGGAAACTTTTATTAGGGGTCAGTGACAGTAGGGAAGTCAAGGCGAGATCTGGGGAAAATCCCACTTAAACGGTATAGTTAAACCAGCAATATTACTCCTCCCACCAGAGTCATAATGTCCATTTGAAATTCAGCCAATCCACAGGTGGCAATGATGTGTGGGTAACTGGTACAGTTGGTTCGCATCTCAAGGTCTTCTCCAGTTTCGTTTCTTTGTAACCATCTCCCTGATAAGGGAAACACATTCCTTTCTCAAGTGGATAGAGGTGGGTGAAGAAAAGCAGAAAGTGAAAGTAATCCCAAGCAAAAGTAAATAACCCCCTCCCCCCAACTAAATGGCAGACCCCAAAGCAAAGCACAAGAATATATATATGAAAGGGAGACAATAGGATTTGGGGACCTGACGTACGCCCCCCCTAAAAGAATGGGAAATCCACCTAAAAGACAAAAAGGGGAGGGGAACAACAATATATACACATTAATTAGGCTTATCAGGATATTGAGAATGGAAACGTCTTAGATGTTTAGAGCCTCTAACATGTCTCTTGTACACCCACTCATTTTGGGCAGAAGGGACATTCTTCCAAGCTACTAAGTATTGTGTCACCCCATGATGTATTCGAGAGTCCAAAATGTGCTTAATCTCAAAGTGTTGTTTACCCTCAACCATGATAGGTATGGTTGCCTAAGGTACAGGAGGCCTAAGGTTAGAATTGACCTCTGGTTTGAGCAAGCTGCAGTGGAAAACAGGGTGGATTTTCCGTAGGTTCTTTGGCAAATCTAATTCAACCATCACAGGATTGATGACGCGTTTGATAGGGAAAGGTCCTACAAATTTAGGGCTTAATTTCTTAGATGGTTGTAAAGATTGCAAATACTTCATGGAGAGGTGTACTCAGTCTCCAATTTTATATGGTTTTTGCTCCACCCTCCATTTATCACCCTGAACTTTATTGACTTCTCTGGCTTCATCCAGAGCTTTCCTGACTACTGGCCAGGTATTTTGTAACTGTTTAATCCATTCTTTCAAGGAGGGGATAGGAAGTTGATAGGAAGTTCAAGCATGGCCACAAATGTTTGACCATTAGCTTCTTGAAATGGAATAAAACCTGTACTGGAGTGCACAGTATTGTTATAAGCCAGGGCTTTTCAACTGGTGTACCACTAGTGGTAAGCGACCGTTTTAGACAAGTGTAACAGGGGAGGGGAATGAGCTGAAGCAATCCAAGGCTGAGGGAGAGGCAGCTGGAGCTGCAGGAGTGTTGGGGCTTGGCAGAAGCCCCAGGAGCGCCGGCAGGGCTCCGGCTGATTGGCACTTCTGGAAGCAGCACGTAGCCATAGGTGAACTGGAAAAAAAAAGGAGGGAGGAGGAGAGGATATAAAAGGAGGTGGTTTTGGCAGGAAAGGGGATGGAGAAGAAACTGTGAAAGGAGAGTTCAGCAGGCAGGGAGGAAAAAGAGACAGGGAAGCTGTTGCTGGAAGAAAAGGTCTCCTGGTTCGTTTTCTCCAGCCAGGAGAATGCAATCAGCGTTGATGAAGTGAAAAGCCTGGAGACGAGCATGTCGAAAAGGAGGATGGTTTATTTAGTTCTGGGTCAGCTGGCAGCTTGATTGGGTTACCATAAGGATTTTTATACAGTTTTTACAGCGTTTTGTAATTCAGAGTGTTAGAAGAAAAAGCCGTGGGCTCGCTTTCCAGCGAAGAGGCTATACATTTAAAGAAAAGAAAGAAAAAACAAACCAAGCCACTGCCATTTGAAATAGATGAGAAGAAGCCGGCTGCTTGACAGGAAATGTTTACTGACAGAACAAAGTACTGTTTCAGCAGTTCAGTTCTGGGTCACCTGAACACTAACTGGGAGGATGATGTTTTTTTCCCCAAGTTTTTTATTAATTTTACAATATTACATTTACATATTTGAAAAGTAGCATGGCGGCTGAGCACAGTAATTCCATTACATTTGAATATCATCAGTACAAATCTCAAAGTATTACAACAACTAATTCCCCCTCTTTCCCCCATAATATCTACTGTCATATTCGAACCAATACAGTTCGTATTCTATCAATCAAACAAAAAGTACCTTTCTAATATTCATCAATAATCTTCAGTCTATACATATCTTAATTTGACATTCCACCTTTTAGACAATAACCTAATAAGTTTTTCTTAACTTTAATTTCTCATTGATATTTAAGTTTAACGTTTAATCTTTATCATTTCCAGATTTTAAATGATCCCAATTTCTAAGTCTAATATCTCACATTTGGGGCTAATAATTTTTTTCTTTTCTTCTTTCTACTTCCTTCCTTTCTTCCTTTCCAGAAAGAGAAAAAAAATAAAAAAATAAAAAAAACCCACCAACATTTGTACCACAAACCCATATACAAATTTAATTATTAGTATTTATACTTCTAAGTTTTACTTAACCTTTGTCTCAACTCATAACAATATCTTAAATTCAAATCTTAGTTATTTGTAAACATTCAAACTTTTAGCCAATCAGTGACCTGATGGTTAATTTTCCCTTGATATTTAATTTAACATTTAATATTTATATTTTTTCAGATTTTTAATTAAACACAATTCCTTTATCACAATTCCTCATACATTCTAATATTTAAAATACACACCTTGTATATAAATTCTACCATCTATCTTACCAATCTAATAAGACAGTATAATATTCTTGTTTCAATATATTTCTAGATTTTATATGATCAAAATTTTCTTTATCTCAAATTGTTACAATATCTTGTGTTCAGAATACCTATTCTATCCATTTAGATATATTCTATTTTGGATCTCATGTATAGATCAAAACCCCAATCTTTTTCAATCTTATTCTAGCTTTTTTTCTCTGCCAGGTCATTTTTTGTATCTTTGCCTTTAAATCATCAAAAAAAAATCTCCTT